AGTAAATTACACTGTGTGCCTGTACCCTTAAGAGGGAAGTTACTTAGGACGAGTGTAGTAGGTGGTGCTACATAAATGGAAGGCTACAAGGAAAGGATGTGGAAAGTTGAAAGGAAGACAAAGTACACATGCAAAAAAAAAAATGCAATGCAAGCACTCTGGAATCCCAAATGGGATCTAGAAGACAAGTCACAAACAATAAAAATCAGCAATAAGGGCTAACACTAGAAAGGTGACAGATGGAGAGTCTGTGACAAATAGCCAAGTTTAAAATTCCCTTATATTCACTGAAGTTCAAGTTTGAAATACTTGACTTCTGGCAGGACTGGCTCCTACTTTTGTTGTTTTTTTTTGTTTTAAAATGAACTTGGGCCAATTTGTTTTTGTTCATTTCTGAGCTAAAAACTTTAAATAGATTAGCACCTTTGCAAGCTGAACCACGTTAACTATAGAAGCTGTATGTGCTCCATTACCTGAATAGGCCAAGCAGGCAGAGGTTGCAAGAAGTCAGCTTTATACGGATAGTTTACCATTGCCAAATTTACCCATGTCTCACTCAGCCAAGCTTTCAATGCAGCAACATCTTGTGTGGATTTCAATGGGCTGCATAAGTGAAATGCACTGGAAAGCCAGTGCAAGCCTTCACCTAAGTGAGAAAGCAAGAAGATTTTAGTATTTAAAATGTACCTTAAGTCAGTCAGTTGGTGCATCATTAAGATTATGGAGAGAACCTCAGAAGTCCAATATGTTACTGTTAAAACAGTTGATCTCTAGCAGCCCCATATAAGTCTTTCCCTTAGCATAATGAATCCACTGTGTTACAGTGTATGTATACCAACATAAAATTGAGTCCACAATCCATTTGAGTGAATCACTACCAAAAAACATTGACATTATCTTAATCTGCCTTCAAATGGTGGCATCTAAAACATTAAGAGATTGAGCAGAATACAATCAGGCCTTTTTAAAAGGAAAATGTCAGACTTGTTAGTTGAGGGTATAGAGCTCTCAGTAGATAACAGAACTCTGCTCACCCTTCCTTCCCTCATTTCACCAGCCTAACAATGCTGCAGATTCAGTTTCCTGTACTTGCAAGCTACATTACAATATTGCTCCCAGAGGATTCTGAAAAGGAACAGCAAGGAAGTAACAATGCTAAAGTCAGGCTGTGTCCCCATCTGATCTCCTTGCCCTAGAGTCAAGGTATATATGGTTACAGTCACGAACAAAGTGTATGCCTCCCAAAGCTGGGGGGACAGCAACCACCTGCAGGGAGTGGTGGCAGGGCAGCAGGAGCAAGCAGGGATGACCTGCAGCCACCAATGGCCGTATCAACAGCAAGTGGGGGGGCAGCAACCACCCACAGAACATGGGGGTGGCTTCAACAATTGCCAATCTCAGGGGGACACAAGTCCCCTCGTCTCCCCCACATGTTGGCTATAGTTACAATGCCCAGTTAAAAGAGTACTCTACTTTCTTCTGCTTATACTGTATTTTCTCACATATCCTTTTCTACCTAAAGCCAGCTGGTAGATATTGCTAGGTGAGAAAATATGGATCCCCAGAAATTTGGCAGCAGGGGAACAGTGACAGCATGTATTAATTTCTCTCTGCCGGCAAATTTCTGAATCTGTGGGTAGTCCCTGAGCTGGATGACATGGCCCCATATATCAGATCAGGCCAGCAAAGGTAAGTTGGTCAACGGCAAGACCCAGAATGCAATCCCAAACCCAGCATGCCAGACAGAGCTGCAGTGCCAGACCTGGAGCACAGCTTTGGATGCAGCACATAGCTCTAGGCCTGGCATGCCAGTGCTCTTCAGATCCCATCTTGTTCACAGGGCTGACAGCAGGTACAGCTCATTAGTGGCTGCTGGTACTCAATTACTTACCCAAGTAAGATCTTCATGCTGCCTTTTCAAGAACAAGGGTGTATTATACCAGGGGTGTTGTGAGAGAAAAAATACAGTATTCAAGTTTTTGTTTTTAAACAAACAGATAGCCTCTGCTTTTCCATCACCACCTTTCATAAATTAAAAAAAGTTGCCTTCCCTCCCGTGTTACACCAAGCTGGAATTGGGGAAAGAGGGAACACAAACCTGCTGTTTGAGTCTCGATCTAGTTTCAAATTGTAACATTCCTGAGTGTTCAGAGAAACTTAGATCTGGATTTGGAACCAGAGTGTAGAATCTATATAACCATGATCAAACTAAATATTTTTGCCATAGGAACAGAAAAAATTGGCACCACTTTTTGAAAGGCTGATGAAGACACTTCAGAAGCTTGGCAGTTATTCTGTTTTTTTTGACCCATTCCATTTCAGACAGAGAACAATTCCTAGAACTAAACTAGCGAATACATTAGTGACTTTGCTTAGCCAAAAAGCTGTGGCCCCTGGTGAGTAAGGTAGAGAAGCCTATGCTCAGCTAGTATGGAAGCTTGTTTCTGTCTTCAGTTTTTTTGGCTTTTTTTTTTCCCCCCCCACTTTAAGTGTCTTCCATTTCAGAGGCTGAGTCCATGTAATACAATAATGTATCATCTATTTCTGTCTACACGTTCAAAATAAAAATTTAAAAAAAAAAGTCACCAAAAATTCTCTTTAGAAAAGTTTAATTTAGATTGAAAACATGCAAAAAAGTCCACAGCCAGGAAAGTTAAGGTCTGAAAAAAAAAAAAACCACTCAGATGCACAGGAGGCTATCATGCTCTACAAACTTACAAATGCTGTGAAATTACCCAGAGTCACTGTGCAAGCTGCCTGAAATACACAATTCTTGGAAGAGCACAAATGCTGAGGTGACATTGGTAACTGGTACCTGTAGAGGAGATGCGTTTAATAGCCTCCCAAGAATTTCGGATGCTTTCTGAACAGCCTTTTCCACTCTTCTTGAAGTCATTAGTCACTATCCTGTTGAACACACTGCAGGGAACCAAATCCTGGAACTGCCATATTGGGGCCGAGGCTGCAAGAGCTCTGTAAAAACAGAGACAATAAGCCATATTTATTTGGTGAAATATACCTTTGGCACCTCTTCCAAATGAACCGCTGCGTGTCAAACTCCTCACAGCTACTGAACAATTAAAAGGTATGTCTTAAGTGTTTAACCCCCTTGTTCCCCTCCCCACAAAAAGAAACCATACCTATAATCTATAATTCAGATACAACATTCACTCCTGACAAACTTGAACTTAAAAAGCAAGCTTTTTTGCAAATCCATGCAAGTACAAAACAAAATTAGTGTTAGATCCCAATTAAAACGTGCAAGTTCTTCGTGCACACTTGCTGGTATTTGTACAGTAACAGCCAGAGACTGGGGCTCCATTGTGCTACATATTGTACAAACACAGAGTAAAGAGAAAGTTTGGAGCTGTAAATCCCTACATCTAAGAGGCACAGAAGAAAAAAAAAGGGAGGAATGATCACCTTTGTATTGCAGGTGGAGAATCGGGGCACTGAGGGATTAAAATGACTCATCTAAGCTTGCATACAAGAAACCCACCGCAGACTTGAGAATTGAACCCTGAACTCCCAAGTCTCAGACCAGTGCTATACCCTTAAGAGAAATCCTGTGGTGGGAGACAGAGGGAAGCCCTATGGTAGGTTTGATATCAAAGCAAGAATTACTGGGTGCCTAGACTAGGGATACTCAGCCTTCAGCACATGGTCTAGATCCAGCCCATGGCACATTATCTGGCCTGTGGGGCTCTGCACGGGTCCAGAAGTTTGGTAGAATGGGGGGGGGGGTAGGAGCTGTGCTACTACTCCCATAGTACCAAGTTTCCAAAGCCCTGGGGAACCCTGGGCCCTGCAAGCTGGATCGGGTGCTCAATCCAAAGCAACAGAGCAGGGTAGGGGTGGTTCCAGGGCCCTGGGGCCTAATCCCAGTGCATGGGTGCAGGAGGTGGCAATGCCAAGCCCCCTGGGCAGCTGTTCCCAATGTGGTGCCTGCAGGTTATTTCAACAACAAGAGAATTCCTCTCATTTCTCACCACCAAAAAGCTTCTGCTCTCTATGTTATGGAGACCCTTCTTCTCCCACCATAGGAGAAATCTTACATAAACCCCTCCTCTCCCACCATAGGGAGTCCCCAGGGCCTCTTTCTGTTATAGAAGAGAGAAGTAGTCTTCAGCCCAAAGCACACCTTTGCCCCTCTACCCATCTCATTTTCAGGAAGTCAGCTGAGTGGGACACTTCCAACTTGTATAGTTTTCCTATATCTAGCCCAAGGAAAAACCTGGTCTGAATAGGGAACACAAGCCACTGAAGTAAATCAACCTGTTATTAGCCTAGAAATCCAGTGAGCAAGGCGTTACCCATTACATTAAAGACACTTTTTTTTTTTTTTTGCTTATTAATAAAATTTCAGAATTGGCCTGGGGGAAGACAGATCCGACATCTTCCTGCACACTAAAATCTTAGTTTTCTACTTTCTGGAAACTAGAATGGAATCTGAAGAAGGGTATCTTGTGCCCAAAAGTTTATGTAAGATCTCTCCCAGCCATAGGTGATGCATGGTGAGACTGGGGGCTACCAAAGCTGCTGCTGGCTTCTGCAGGCAGTTGCCGCCCCCTGCCCTCACTACCAGTGCAGCCACCAGCAGCAGCAGGTGATCCCCCATTCGCCACCTGCTGCTCACCACTGGCCTGCTTCCCACCACCTGCGGGTGGTCACTGTGCCCCCCTAGCCTCAGGAGGCACACGTTGTTCATGCTCCCAACTACACAGGTTATCCAATAAAAGATATCACTCAAAAAAAAAATCCTAGAGACTTGAAAAGCCAAGCTTGAGGGCCATGTTTTAAAACTAATTGCATCTCAAGCCACAGGTACCTGAAATTCTTTAAAATTCATTATTTGATTACACCCCGCTGTTTTGTAGTTTGGAGAAGTTATAAAATTGGTCTTGCAGTAAAATCTGAATTCAGCCTTGATTATGGGACTTCTCTCAATGCCTCCATAATGCTTAGAGCAGGGGTGGGCAGAATGTGTCCTGCGGGCAGATCTGGCCTATGGGCCCCTAAAAAAGTTTGGAAGATTAATTTCCCTGCCCTTGGTTCCTGTCAAAAAAAGACCCAGGGGAAGCTCCCACAACAGTGGGGCCCACCTGGCTCCACTCCCCAACCATGGTTTCCAGGCTGGGAGCATGTGGCTGCCCCCGGTGCAGGAAGCTCAGGTAAGTAAGGGGGGAACCCCCAGGCAAGGAAGAAGTGTGGGAGGGGAGTGACCCATCCACACCCATGCCTGATGTCATGTGCTGCAGCTGCTTGCAGCCCACGTGGGGCTGCCTGTGCCTGCTACAGACAACTTCATGCAGGCTGCGACTGCCTGTAGTGTGGGGCACTGGGCATGGGAGGGACCACTCCCCCCCCCCAGTCCGCTTTTCTGTGGGCTCCTCTCCTGCTTGCCATGGGGTGGGAAAGGGGCTATTTCCCCTCCCCCCCCCCCAGCACCACCTTGTAACCCAGACCCACTGCCAGGCTGGCAGCAGGGGTGGGTTACAAGCTAGTACTGAGTGTGGGGATGAGCAGCACCTTGCCCACCCTGTGCCCAGCACCCTGTGCTACAGCTGCTTGCAGCCTGCCTGGGTCTGCCTGTGCTTGCAACACAGGGCACGAGCCATGGGGCAGGTGAGGAGCCATTTTCCCCCCCGCCACATTCAGCATTAGTTTCTTCCCTGCTGGCAAGCAGGGGGTCAGGGCTGTGCACTGCCCCCAGCCTGTACTGGAGGGCTGGGGCACACTGGGTGTGAGCAAGTGGGGAGCCAGTGGGAGCACAGGGCCTGCACCGGTGCTGTGGGGCCAGTGCTGGTGGGGCCCAGAGCAGGGTGGCAGCAGCGCAGAGTCCCAGCTGCCAGGGGCTCTATGGAGCTAAGCCAGCTCCCCCCCTCCCTGCTGGTGCAGCCCAGCCCAGCTCCACAGACCCCTGCCAGCCTGTGCACCACTTTGGGCCCCACTGGTGCTGGCCCTGGGACAATGGTCCCAAGATGGTGACCAAGGGGCAGGGCAACCTAGTCCCCCCCTTCAGTCTGCCAAAACTGGGTAAGCAGCCCTCTGCTCAAAATAACTGCCTGCCCCTGGCTTAGGAGTTACAGAAGTTCTGTGTGGAAAGAATGTCTTCTTAACTAATCCATTAATTACTTAGTCAGATGACATTTTTTATAAGCCAATAGTGTTCTAGGTTTGAGCAGGATAAGAGTACTCACCCATCTACTACATGAGGATATTTCATTCTAAGCCAGGCTGCAAGCATCCCTCCATATGACCCCCCTATGGCAATCACAGGAGTGTTTTGGGCTCCTGGGATTGTCTTCCTGATGTGTTGAATTAGTATCGCAAAGTCCGCCAAAGCTTGCTCTGATGTCAAGTAATTCAGATGTTTGGAATCCTGAAACAAAAGTGTATTGTATAGTATAGGATATTTTCAAAGAAAATCTTTGATTTTCTAGCAGCAAGAAGTTTGAGAGACTTCTAGTCCTATACCAGGTGTGATTACATTTTGATACTATATTAAAATGACTTCTAGATTCTTTTTACCAATACTTGCAGAAATACATAGATGCTTTAGTGAATACTATAATTATGTACCACACTCACAAAATACCATTTTCTTCCAAAATCAACCCCCAAAGTTGGGATGCATGCTTTGAGCAGGGAAAATGGTCTTCACAGAAAGAGACAAACCTAGAGACACCATGCATGTCATGCAGCTTCCAAGATGGTGTGGTCCCACATTAAACCCCTCACAACCATAGCTATTAGCTGAGCACAGTACCCTGTGCGTGAAGCAGTAAGCGAGCTGTCAGTAGTACCCCGATGAGCTTGGGACATTGAAGCTTTATTTACAGGAACTTTTATAAAGAACCAAACAGACTTACTACTATCCTTGCAAGTATCTGAGGTCTAACCTCCTGCAATGTGTCCAGGAAGCATGGCATACTGGAACAGTCTGAACTTCCTGGGACCACCCTTCCTATGTATTACTCTATGCTCCCAAGAGGACTTACTCATGTTGCACAAATCAGCAATGACTGGTGCAGGGTAAGACAGGACAGCCATCCCACTCTAGGAGGAAGTCTCTCTCCTCTCCACTCCCTTCCCCCCACCCCCATTCTGCCTTCCAAGGAAGAAGGTATGTATTGTATTATTTGGAGGCATTTTGTACGCAAGAAAACAGGGTAAATGTGGGTTCCTGAGCATGCATCTTAACAGAAATAATCCCAAATCCTACTCATCCAAATAGTTACTGCTTAGTCAATAGTTCCACGTGTATAGAACAGGCAGGATTTAGGCCACAAGCAAGAAAGCATCCAGTTCTTTTCAGTGACCTTAAAAACTAAGGTGTGGGAGAAGGTACTTACACTGAAAGACTTATTTCCAAAGGGCAAGGATTCACCATAGTATCTATGTTCAGCAAATACTAACATGGCATTAAGCTCTTCAGCCACTTCCCACATAAAACCCTAGGGGAAGAAAAAGTGTTTAAAATGAAAAGCAAGTGAATTATCATTTGAATGTACTGTTAAACCCCTACTCCTTAATTGGAAAGAATTCCACCAACTCAGTTACTCTTATTCAGGTATTGTCTAACAATTGTAAAATTTAAAGAGAGACTGGTATAGACAATAAAGAAAATAATGCATTCCTGAACTAAAAATGTATCCACCAAATTCTGCCAAGAACACTGCCCAGTATGCACTGCCAGAACTAAGTGCATTGGGACTCAAATTAAGTTACAAAATGAATTCTCATGTCTAAACACTTACCTGGTTGTGTACCTGACAAAAAAAAAAAAAAAAAAAAAAAAAAAAACAAAAAACAAACAAACAAAAAAAGAACGGAAGAATTAGGGCCCTTGGCCCAGTCATGAGTTTTTGGCCAGCAACAATTTGGAGATGGAACTGGGACATGCGTAACTGGTTGAACATATGGCACCACACCAGAGCACAGGTAGCTGCATGGAGACTTATTCTGAGCCATGTGTGGCAGTGCAAGATTACAAACTGTGTATAGGAGTTAAAAACCTGTGCTTCTACAGCTGGATATGCCATTTAGACAAGTACAGACAAACAGGATCTAACCCCTAAACTACAATAGGTGCAAGAGATTTTCTTCTGGTGCTCAACTTCAGGCATAACTGATCCTTGTAAAAAGGCTGCTAATTTACTCTCAACTTCCCTTAGGGGCAGAGAGCTTTTATAAACCCCATTGACAGAAGGGGACTCTACTGCACAAGTTACCTTGCAACTTGTTGCTTCATTCTCCTGCTACCCAGACCAGTACCTCAAATCACATCATCCTTCCTTCCAACACGCTGACCATTCAAGGACTCTTTTCTTTGATTGCAGAGTGCTTTGAGATTCAGGTCCTAAAGCCTGAATTCTGTTCTCTCTTTAAAGCCGACTTACATGGAGAATATAAGTTTTCCTCATATTTTAAAATCCAAATCTGCAGTTAATTCCATATCCCAATGGCATCACCTTGCTTTCCCAATATCCCACTAGAAAGTCACACTCTAAAAGTAAAGAGATTAGGGAGCAAAAGTTTGATTTATACCCACTGTGTTATTGCAAAACCATGTGATATCTCCTTCATTGCCAGTATAGAAAAGTATTGATCCACCATCTTTCTTCCAGTGCTGGTCTGCTATTAGGTACCGCTGCTGGAACGTACGATTTTCAAGAAATCCAAAGTGATCAACCTGTCAGAAGAAACATAAAACAAGCACTTTAAAAAGGACTGAAAAAGGTCAAGGATGAAGAGGCATAACATGCAAAGAATGCACCCAGGGCAGTCCTCTCCCCTCCTTCTACTAGGCAGTGTGCAGGAGCTGTAGCAAGCAATGACGCAGGCAATGCATGTCAAGGAACGCAAAATATTCTAGGAACTGCAGTTCTGAAGTGGACTCTGCCTGGGGTGGGGGAGAACTGACCCTATTTTTGCTACAAAAAGAAACCCACACACCACGTTTTGGTTTCCCCAACATGAACAGCAACAAAAGTGGGGTGAAAGTTCTCCCCAACAGCAAACTCCACTACAATTCTAGAGATCTACAATTCCCAGAACACCTTGCACTCAGAAGTGCACACCACCAGACTGTGCAGCCAGGAAATGCAAGCAGAGCTAGAGAGGGTTGGGGTGGTGAGGCACCCTACTCTCCATCCTTTTGGCATCTCTTCCCTTAGGCAGTGCATGGGATGTGCCCCATTCATTCACCCCATATTACACTGAGGATGAGTGGAATATCAAGATAAAAGATTCATTTTTAAATCATGTTCTTTCAATGCAGGTGAAGTTCTTGGACTCAAATGCATGAAATGGATTTGATACCCACCCCCAATCAGGCACAGCTAACAGCTCGGATGAAGCCTGAACACTCAAGGAGGGAAATGTAGTATCAGCTACAAGAGATGTACAGTTTTCCTAACATCGCACTTAAAGAGGACATGATGTCGAGAGTGCAGGCCTGCCACAATATTGCAATAGTAGCTAGAGAAATCCAGTCACACAACTCTATTGTACCATGTACCATACACATAAGAAACAGTCCTAGTCCTTGACTGTTTAAAATGTGGGGGATAATTAGCTACAGCAGGCTCATAAGTAAACAAAGATGAATGGTTGTACTGTGAAGAATGAATGATATTGTTTGTCAAGAGTTTTCCAACAAAATACCATTTTTCTTAGAATACAATGTTCTCTGTTTCTTATAAAACTATCCATTTTAGTTGAAGGGTGGTTCTTTCCATACCAGAAAAGGTTTTCGGTTTTTTGCTAGGAAACCGAAAACCTCCAAATGGAAAAATTGCCTACGTGGAAGTTCTTTCCATCAATTTACAGCTGAAAGCTAGACATGTTATGGACAAGAAGTCTGACTCTTTTTTGGGGTTGTGTTTGTTTTTTTGTTTTTTTTAAATACACAGATCATGCTCCCTTCTCATAAAAAGGAGTCTTCAAGAGATTTTTTTGTGAAAAGTTAAAAAAAAAAGTGTGTGTGTGGGGGGGGGG